GCCCCAGTGCCCTACTGCACGGCCACAGCCACGAGGTGACACCCAGCACCCCCAAAACAACTCTCCAACCTCACCCAAGAGTGTCACCCCCACACCACAGTGACACCCTGGGACCCCCCCCACACCCCACCCCGCCCTGAGAGGTGCAGGAATGCCACCCACTCTGGGGTCCCAGGGCTGAGAAGCCCCCCACCTCAATCAGAAAGAGAGTGGGGGGGAGTGGGACACACACACACTCATATTTTCCAGCTCTCTGCTATTTTTAACTGCTCTCCAAAGGCCCGTGGAGCTATTTGGGAGCTGGCAGGGTGCTCCGGCCGTGTGAATGTGCCTGACCTCCTCCTCCTCCTCACTACAGCATTGGGGAGGAGGGTGGGAGAAGCAGGCTCCAGGCCCCCAGCTCAGCCTCCACTTCCTGGCCCCTCCAAATCCCACTGTGACAGCATGGCCACCGTGGGAAACAGCCACGGTGTCCTGGAGGAGAGGAGAATGGGGACATCTGTGGGAACAAGGATGGGAAGGGGGAATGGGGACATGAATAGTAAAAGGGAGGGGAGTGGAAATGGGGACACAGGGATGGGAAAGGGAATGGGGATGGGAAGGGGAACAGGGATAAAGATGTGGAATGGAAGGAGAATAGGGATGGGAACAAGAGTACAAAGGGAAATGCAAATACAGATGGGAATGGGAATGGAAATAAGGATGGGAAGGGAAAGGGCTCAGCTCCTGGCATCGATTTTATCAATTTTATTTCCACTGTGAGGACAGAGCTGAGATGCAGCCCACATCCAGAGGCAGGGTGGGGCAGCAGCTGCACCCCCCCAACCCCCTGGGCTCATTCCTGGGGAAGGACGGGCAGGGCTGGGCTGAGCCCTCGTTAACCTGGTGCTTAATGGCCAAGTTTATCCCATTATAGCCAAGCCTATCCCACAACAGCCAAGCCCAACCCATAACGGGCCCCAGTAAAGCCCCAATGGTTCCCTAGAGTCCCACCCACGCATCAATGGATCCCTATAAGCACCTACCCCCTCCCCAACAAGCCCCTATGGCTCCTGCATCCCCCTCACCCCCTCTCATACCCCAACCCAGACCCCTATAGGCTCTTTGGGCCCCCATAGCTTCCCCAGCCACCCTATTAAATCCCTATTGCTTCCCCAGACTCCTATAGGCTCCTTGTGTCCACACGGAGCTCTCAGACCCCTATAGTCATCCTATAGCCCCTACAGCTTCCCTCAGACCACCATATCTCCCTTATAGCCCCTATACCTTCCCCTATAGGCCCCCCAAACCCTCTACCTCTACCTATAGCCCCCCCATACCCATTCTATGGACCCCATAGCTCCCCTCAGCACCCCTATAGCTCCCATATAGGCTCCCTAGATCCCCATAACTATCCCAAGACCCCCATAGCCATCCTATAGCTTCGCTCAGACCACTACATCTCCCCTATTTCCCCTATACCTTCCCTATAAGCTCCCTGAAGACCCACAGGTCCCTCAGAAATCCTCTATCTCCCCCTATAGCCCACCCCATACCCATCCTATGGACCCTATAGTTTTCTCATACCCCTGTAGCTCCCACATAGGCTCTCTGGATCTCCATAACTCCCCCAAGACCCCTATAGCCTTCCTTCAGACCACCATATCTCCCCTATAGCCCCTATACCTTCCCCTATAGGCTCCCTTAAGCCCTATAGGCCCCCCCAAACCCATCTATCTCTCCCTATACGCCCCCCATACCCATCCCATAGTCCCTATAGCCCCCCAGCCCCCTACAGCCACCCTAAATCCCCTCCATAGCTTCCCACAGCTCCCCCTACAGCCACCCTATAAGCCCTACAGCCAGCCCTATGGCGCCTCCCCGCACCCACAATGCCCCGCGGCGGGGCGGGGGAGGGGGGGGCGGTGACGCACAGTGACGCAGCGGTGACGTCACGCGGGAGAGCCGCCATGCTGTCCCGGCTGCTGCGGGAGCACCAGGCCCGGCAGAGCGAGCGGCGCGAGCTGCAGGGTGAGCCCGCCCCGCCCCGCCTTTCCCGCGGGCTCATTGGCTGAGTGTGGGGAGGGGGGCGCCGCGGCTCGTTCCCTCATTGGTCCGCGGGGCCGCCAATCGGAGGGGACGAGGTGGGAGGGGGGGTGGTGGTGGTGGTGGGGAAGGGCGCTGTGCGTGACGTCACGGGAGGCGCGATGACGCCGTGCTGACGTCACGCTCCGCAGAGCGGCGCCGTCGGGAAGCGATCGCCGCCGCCACGCGGCTGACAGAGGCGCTGGTGGATCATCTGAACGTGGGGTGAGGCGGGGCCGCCCCATACGGGACCCCCCAACCCCCTCACCCCCTGGTTGGGCCCCCTCCCCCAAACCACTGTGGGACCCCCGTCGTGGGGGGAGCTGGGGGGGTTCCATCCCCTTTTGCCCCCTCCCCAAACCCACTGATAAGGACCCCCCCACACTCCCTTTGCCCCTCCTCCATTCAGACCCCTGGGGGACACCCACCCCCTCCCTGAGTCCCCTGGTTGCCCCCCC